AAAGTATTAAAGAGCAAAGATATCAGTTTGAGGACTATGTTATGCCTGTCCCAAATGATGGTATTTTCAATTGCCTCATGTGAATTGGGCAATGAATAAGAAATTTTGACCATAGAAAATTCAATGAAAATGGTATTAGACAAGAATATTGAAAGTATCATGGACTGATAGGTATTTGTTAAAATATATCAAAATACCAGAATCCAATAGAAGATAAATGAATAAATCTGTTAGATTTCTTCATGTTTAATAAATTAGATACCATTGTTGTTGTTTTGTTGTTAAGTGTGATCAAGTCAGTTCTGACCTATAGCGACCCCATATAGGGTTTCCAACACTACTTATATTGCTAGATCAACATTTACACCATCATAGCATTACATCTTGCACTCCTTTTAAATTTAGGAAAAGGATTCAAGAAAAATATAATTGAATATGAGAATGAGCCAAAGAATATTAGATAAAATATAATTATGAACTAGAATCTCATTTTTCATATTTAGTGATATCCTCATTAGTTCTAATATAGTATTTATTTTCCTCACTGTAGATACTAGTTTATATTTCTATTAAAAAATGATTTAATGATGCACTGATATATCTCTGGAAATTTTCCTAATCAGAATGTATTATCTTAATCTTACATTGCATCTCTGGCATCTTTAGCTTTTCCTTTTTCAACCACTATATGCCTAATGCATGTAAAAAGCATTCCTCTACAACCCTCATGCACATAAATAAATATCAATCTTTGTAATATGAAAAAAATAACTGCCATTACAAAATGGGACCTAATATACTATAATGAAAAATAATGGCATAAAATGAAGAGGGAAACTTCAGGGTGACTGTCAGAAAACTTTTAATGACTTTGAAAAATGATTGTAAGTCTGATCAGGGATGTCTTATGGGGAGAGCATACAAATAGAACATAATTCCCGACAGAGCACTTTATTTTCCTGTTGAATAGTTTTATAACAAACAAAAGGGTGGAAATTGCTCCTGGTTTAGCAGTTGTTTAGCTAATAGTTATGTGTCAGGTCACTCACACCTTCCATTATTTTGGCAGATTTGTTGGTAGCTTTCATATAATAGAAAATATTTTATAAAAATTTTGTATATTCAGAGACTTTCATCAACCTCAACTCCCAATCTTCATGCCTCATAAGTACCTATTTCATATACTATTTGTTTTTCACAGAATATGTTCTTCTAAGACACTCAGTATACCAGTTTGATATAAAATATGATATTTTATTAGTAATTGATTAAAGGAATTAGAACAACATACTCTATCCTGGGTATGTATTGAGGGCCTATATAGATATATACCCCCCCCCCACAGAAAAAAAAGAAAATCACAGAGCTCAAAAAATATCAGACAAAACTACACAGGGGGTGTAGAGTTCACATTTCCAAAACACAGGGTATTCAAAAGAACAACACACACATGAAAACAGGACAAAAAAAAAGAGACAAACTAGAAGAATTGATACATTTGAGTTATGGTGTAGGAGAAGAACATTGAAAGTACCATGAACTGATAGAACAAATAAGTCTGTATTGGGAAAAGTAAAGCCAGAATGCTCCTTAGAAGCCAGATGGCAAGACTTAGTCACTCCTACTTCAGACATGTTATCTTGGAGAGGTACATCATGCTTGATAAAGTATAAGGTCACCAAAAAAGAGGAGGACCCTCAATGAGGTGGACTGGTACAGTGGTTGCAAATGTAGGAAGAATTGTGAGGATGGTGCAGCATTTTGTTCTGCTGGGCATAGGGCCCCTATGAGTGGGAATGGATCAATGGCACCAAACAACAACCAGGTCCTCCATCGTTTATGTCTAAAGTATGAAGAATATAAAGACCTGACAATTAACAAGGCATCTCATCTCATTCCAAAGTCCTCTGACTTTTCAATTATTTTTGATATTTTATACAAACACAAAAAAATCATCTACTGTATTTGTGCTACCACACATATTAAGAATTACATTCATTAGGATTTTAGTTTAGTGACTAAATGTCAAATGAATTTTGCACACTGTAGTTATTATCTTTAAATAAAAATGAATTCATTGTGGTGTTGATGTTGTATGCTGGTGATTTTGTTTCATGTTTATTTAATAATATAGTTAATGGAAATGCTGCTGGAAAGAGTGTTTTCTTATGAACTAAAGAACAAATAGATTATTCTAATTTAGTTTAGAAGGTAGTGATTAGAGTATGCAAATACATGAAATTAGACATCAGATATAAATGATCAAATTAAAAAAGTGAAATACTGAAATACATGTTTATTGTGTTATCATTATGTGTTTATCATATATATAATTTTTATGTGCAATTTAACAAATCTTTCACTTCATCGTGGATATTCTGTGATCAAATTGTATGAATTAACAAACAAGAACTCTAGAGGGGGAAAAAAGATAAATCTGGGGAAAAAATTGACTTAGGTGGTTTTCTCATATACTTCTACATTTGATGGATCTTTCAGCATAAATTCCAAATTCTTGCATGTCACTTTATAACGTTGCTAAAATGCAGCAAAGGAAGAAATAGAGGGTAATTTTTGCCAAATTATGGGCATCTAGCAGGAAATACACTCTTCCACTAGAAAGTAGTTTTAAGGTAAAATGATTTGTTAACAAATTTTTTACAGTTTAAAGGGTTTTGTTAATTTGGGCCATGACACTCATCAAAGTAAGATTATGTATCAAACTGTAAGAAGGAAAAAAGAAAACATTACTCATAGTTACCTAAGTCCTGGTGTGGCACTGAATAATAAGCATGGATCTCCCAACCAGTCACTCCTCAGAAACCCTCTACAGGGTTGCTATAAATTAAAACTGACTCGATGGCATTTAACAGCAACAATTACAGATTGATTTGAAGAAACTTCAGATACTCTACAAATTAGACATTTCATTTAGTAAACTTCCTGTGGATTTGGTAGATTTTCACAAAATATTAATCACTTATGAATATTCCAGGGGAGGCAGCTACCACTATTTTAGAAACTCAGCACATGCTATTTTTATAGTGAGCAGTTCCACACAAAACTACCCTTGGTAAAAGAAGCTAAAGAGACTGAGCTTTCCAGGATGATGCTGGATTGCTTATGTAGCATTAGTTATGTTTAAACAGTTGTTGTTGTTAAGTGCTTTTGAGCTGGTATCCAACTCATAGGCACCTTGTAAATGATTTCCACAACTGTAAATCTTTTCAGGAGCAGAAAGTCTCATCTTTCTTCACAGTGTGGTTGTTTCACTGTTCAGTGCTTATCTTACAGAGCCAACAGGCTTTCTCTATAAATAATTGGTTTTTTAAGTGTCACTGACTCATAGCTACCCTGTGTAGGATTTCAGAGGAGCAACTGGTGGGTTTGAACTGCTAACCTTGTGTTTCACAGGCCAGTGCTTATCCTATAGTGCCACACTACTACTCAGTATAAAGCAATTACTTATGTATATGTATTTAGTCAATAAAGGATGGCATTCCATTAGATAAATAAAGGTTTGATGAAATGTATTTTAAAATGATATCAATCACATTGATTTCCAATCACATTTAATAGCTCAAGATAGATTGCAATATGATTTTATTGAATTTTTTAAAAAAATTTTTGATGCTGAAAGTAGTGATGCACCAATCATTAATTTTGTCCATAAAATTTTGTTATCTGTATTATAATTTAAAATTTTTATTTTTTCTGTTTCTTAAATTACAGGATGAAGTCTGCCCCAAAGCTGAGGGGGATGAAATTCAAAGGTGTGTGTGGGCCTCTGCTGTTAACGTCAAAGACAAGTTCATTTATGTTGCGCAGCCAACTTTGGACAGAGTTCTTATTGTGGATGTGCAGTCCCAAAAAGTGGTTCAGGTACTAATTATTCTCATATTTGAAAATAAGTATCTTTTTTAAAAATTTAAAGTTCAGACAGCAGTTCTTGGTAGCTACAATATTGTCCTTTGAATACCATTAGTAACTTTTATTATTTTTAGAGAATTTGAATATTTATGTATTTTCTGCAAGTCCTCTCATTTTATTCCTTGAACCTTATGAATTAAATATCTAATTTACATATTTATGTTTAAAACATTAGATCAGTACATGGTATTATTATAGTGAGCGGTTCCACATAAATCTACCCATGGTTGATTACTCTGTCTGGAGCAAGAAGTAGTTCAGTCAGAGGTAGTTTGAGGTATTCTAAATTATCAAGAAAAAGTCAGGATGAAATCTTTCTCATCTAATTCCTAACAGAAGACAACAATAAGCTTCACTAGATAATTTTAGCTTAGTGGGTTTTACTAAAATGTAGTAAGCAAGTCATATGTGCAAAGGTCAGTGAAAAAGAAAGTATCTCAAATAAGCACTGACTGCTACGGCTGTTTTTTTCTGATCTCCTGACTTAAAACTTATCTTTTAAGCCACTAGCACTTTTTGTTGCTAATAAATACAGGTCTGTGCAACTTTTGCAATTTACTTACAATCACTAGCACAATGAGCAACTCTCAAATCAATATATGAAACTATTCAATCTGGCTTTAGTGTCTGGACTCTGGAATATTTTGGAATCTTGCTTCTAGCATCAGTGGAAATATACTTTGAATAGTTTCATGAGATACGTATAATCTGTTAAATGGGTGTTATAATTAAATGCATCTCATGAAGTTAGAGAGCTCTAGTAGCATAGTGGTTACGAATCGGGCTGACCTCAAAGTCAGCAGTTCGAAACTATCAGCTGCTCCATGGGAGAAAGATTAGGCTTTCTGCTCCTGTAAAGATTTACACCTTCGGAAACCCTGTTCAGGGTCACTATGGGTCAGAACCAACTCGACGGCACTTAACAACAACAACAACAACAACATGAAGTTAAGATTTATATGATTTAATGTAAATAAGGCATTTTTTTTACAGAGCTTGGTATATGGAAGTGTTATATACTTGTTTGCTATCACAATTTCTGAGGGAAACTGGAATCTAAGCATTTTTACATTTACACATGCTTTTTTCTTTTTCAGTATAGTTATGCAATAGACTCATAAAGCAGTTGTTGTTATTGTTAAGTGTGGTTGAGCAACTTCTGACTAATAGCAACCCTGTATAGTGTTAGTCCTTCTGAATTTGATCACTGATAAGAAACACAGATTTGTTAACTAGTTTAAAGATATAGCCCCCATTCCAATACCCCTTAACAACTTTATGTGAATTCATGCAGCCATCTACTCACTCATCTATACATCCTGTATATATTTTGATTGTCCATTATGAGATATGTTTGGGATCATGCATAAAAAGACAAAATGAGTTTTACTAGAATGCTCAGGTAACTAGAGGATTAGAGATTTTTACTAGGTGACTAGTCTAACAATTGAATTTCTAATATGGGAATGAACAGTGTGATCATGAATAAAAAAATGAAAAGCCATTCTACTAAAATACTCTTAAGCTTCCAGGGTTACAAATTACATGATACCCATTCTTGTAGTCTCACGTATAACAGAATAATTAATTGTAGCAAATATTTCATTTTATATCATTCTGACTCAATCAGTCAAATACGTTTTTCCCCTGACACTTTTTATATCGTTGTTCAGTTCTGACATCAGCTGCCCAGGTGTCTTAGTTATATGTTGTTGTTATTGGGTTCCTTGAATCAATTCCAGCTAGTAACAACCCTATGCATTACAGAATGAAACATTGACCAGTCCTGCCCATCCTCACAGTTGTTATGTTTAAGTCCATTGCTGCTGCCACTGTGACAATCCATCCTGCTAGGGATCTTCCTCTGTTTAGCTGACCCTCTACTTTGTTGTTGTTATGTGCCATGGAGTCCGTTCTGACTCATAGCAACCCTGTACAGGGTTTCTGAGGCTGTAAATCTTTATAGGAGCAGAAAGCCTCATCTTTCTCCCGAGGAAAAGCTGGTAGTTTCGAACTGCTCACCTTGCAGTCCCCTACTTTACCAACCATGATATTCTTCTCCAAAGTCCCTTTGGAGAACTAGTCCCTTCTGATATTATGTTCAGAATATAAGAGACAAAGTCTCTTATGATATTATGTTCAGAGTATGAGAGACAAAGTCTTGCTATCCTGGACTCTAAGTAAAATTCTGGATTTACTTCTCCCAACACAGATTTATTTGCTTTTCTGGCAGTTCATGGTACTTTTAATATTCTCAAATGCATCAATTCTTGTATGGTCTTCCTTATTCATTATGCAACTTTCATATGCATATGAGGCTACTGAAAATACCATGGCTTAGGTCAAAGGAATCTTAGTTCTCAAACTGACATCTTTGTGCATTAACACTTCAAAAAGGTCTCCTGCAACAGATTTGACTAATGCAATATGTCCTTTGATTTCTTGACTGCTGCTTCTGTGAGTGTTGCTTGTGGATCTCAGCAAAATTAAGTCTTTGACAACTTCAATCTTTTTTCCATTTACCTTTGATGTTATTTATTGGTCTAGTGGTGAGGATTTTTGTTTTCTTTATGTTGAGTTACAATCCATACTAAAGGGTAAGTCTTTGGTATCCATCAGTAAGTTTTTTAATTCTTTGCTTCCAGCTTGCAAGATTGTTTCATCTGCATATGTCACGTTGTTAATATGTCTTCCTCCAATCTTATTGCCAATAATTCAGCTTTTCAGGTTATTTATTCAGCATTCAGATTGAATAAGTATGGTTTTAGTTATATAATCAGCAATAATAGAAATATCACAAATGCGTGTTTGTAACAGAAACTTATTTTCTCAGTTTTGTTTTTGTTAGGTACCATCAAGTCAGTTCTGACACACAGTGATCCCATATAGGGTTTCCAAGAAGGGGCTGGTGTGTTTGAATCACTAACCACTAAAATGCTTATCCACAGGAAGAGACTAGAAATCTGACTTCAGGTTGTGGTTCTAGAGGTGGGCTTTCTCTCTCTGTTGACCCTGAAGGAGGTTTCCTTTCTCTTTGATCTCCTGGGCAATCTTTCCTTGGGCTTGGAATCTCTCTTTGTCAGTGTCTGCATCTCTCAAGAGTTGGTTAATCTCCTTTAAATGTCAAAAGGGATAGCCTCAAGTCACAGCGCATGTTAATTATGGTTCATTAACATAACAAAGGCAGCTCATTACCAAAGGTTATAGCCACAGGCATAGATGCTAGAATCTACAACAAATATTTTGGGGGACACAGTTGAATCAATAATATACTTTTGGCATACAAAATCCATGTCCTTGCCCCATGAGAAAAAAGTTTCACAATATCACACCATCCCAGAAGCCGTAAATCAACTACAAATTTAAATTTTCATCTTCTGATTCATGGAAATCAAATACAGATGAGATATCAGACAAATTTCATCCTGAGACAGAATTTTTCTTCATTTGGGAAATGTAGACTCTAGAATTCAGGATGATTGCTTCTAACATAGAATGGTGGAATGGGCACAGGGATAAATTTAAGGGAAAACAGGACATAGCACGTGAAGCAGGTCCAACACTCTCGCAGAACCTTTTTATTAACTCTCAAGATTTAAAAATAATTCTCTGTTCTTTGGGGCCATCTAGACAATGGTTTCAGGCTTCAGATTCTGGGTTGTTTTTTATATTATCAGGAGGAACCAATCCCTGAACCAGGATGTCATGGTTGGTAAAGTGCAGTGTGAGTGAAAAAAAGGCAGACCCCTAATAAGATGGATTGGCACAACAGTAGCAACAGTAGATTCAAGTAGCAAATACTATGAAATTAGCACAAGACCAGGCAGTGTTTTGTTCTATTGTACATAAGAGAGCTTGGAATCTGAATCAACTTGAAGACACATAACAACAACAACAACAAATGATAATGAAGGATAAGCACTAATTATTGATTTCATTGGGCTAATGCACTAGACTGCAAAGTTGGTTTGAACCACACAGTTCAAGCTCACCAGCTGTTCTGTGAAAACCCTATACAGGGTTGCTATGAGTCAGAACCGACTCAAGGGCACTTAACAACAACAAGTCTTACTCTGGGGAGTCTGGTAATCTCATAGGATACCCACAAGGTGAGTAGTTCAAGCCAAGCAGCCACTCCATGGCATAGAGATGAGGCTTTCTGCTCCCATAAAAATAAAGAGACTAGGAAACACTATGCAGGGTCTCTGTGAGTTGTAACTGACTTAACAGCATTAAACAAATTAAAAAACAAACAAACAACAATAACAACAACAAAAATAGTCTTTCTTTGAGAATTCTGGATTTTGACCAAGTTAGTTTTACTTTTATTTCAGATACAACATAGAGCAACTAATTCAGGCATTATGTTAAGGATAATCAGGCCACTTCCTGCAGAAGGTGAAAATTATAACTATGTTTTAGGAATAAACACTAGTATTTAAATTCAGTTTTCAAACTAAAGACCTACACTCATTGATTATATATCACCTATCAGGTATGCAAAAGCAAGACAAGCTGACATCACTTATTACTCATGTAACTTCCACCTTCAGACAATGATGTCAAACCAAAAATTAACAAAAAACATAAATAATGAAATTTTCAAATGTGATGGGAATAATCACATAAATTAAATTATTTTTCAAAATATCAACAATTATTACTATAACACCAGAACAACAAATATGGAACTTTTATGATTTTTAGAACATTATAAATCATGCCCTCACACAATTACTTCATAATCATAAAATGGTATGTCATACAATGGTGGTTAGTGTGTTGCTGTGAGGATGGATGATATGCCACAGGGTCACACATGGTAGACAGGTTTCAGCTGAGTTTCCAGAATAAGACATACTAGGAAGAAGGAAAGGAAGACTACTTCTGAAACATTAATCACATAAGACTGTATTAATAGCAGTGGGACACTATCAAATAATACAAGAATA